CCCCCCCCCCCCCCCGCCCCGCCACCTTCCCCAACTCAACCAAGTTGAAGAGAATCAAGCACTTTTAATGACAGGTACATAAACTATCAGTGTATATCATAATTCAAGTGACAAAAATCGTTTTATTTCTTCTCAATTAAAAATCATGAAGATGAGCCAATCTTTTTATTTGTAAAGTCTGCTTTTATAACAGTACTTTTTTTTTTATTTCCTTTTTTTGTCTTTTTTCGTGACTGGTAACGGGATCGCAACCCTCGGTGTCGCGCCCGTACTGCGACCGGCAACAGGATCGCAACCCTCGGTGTCGCGCCCGTACTGCGACCGGCAACAGGATCGCAACCCTCGGTGTCACGCTCGCACCACGCTTAACCAGTGAGCGGACCGGTCTCTACATGAGATCCGAACCCTCGGCGGGAGTGCCCCCGCGCTCCCAAGCGCCGCACTCTAGCGAGTGCGCCACTGGGCCGGCCCTATAACAGTACTTCTTTATCTGGAGGGATCCAGGTGCACAGGCTTCCATAAAGACAGAGTATCCAGTCCTCACGTTCTCCTCTCCCTCCTGCCAGGAAAGCGGCTGGTGCTTGGGGAGATGAGTTGACAGTGATGCTGCCATGAGTCTGACAGCTGCAGTATAGAAAGCCTAGTGGGTGAGAAGGGGAAGGGAGTGGGGGAGGGAGGAGAGGAGAGGAGAGAAGAGAAAGAAGGAAAAAAAAATCAGATTGACATCCAGTCTAAAGAGGCAAGGCAAAGAAAGGGAATGACCATCTACGTGGGGGAGAAGAATGGAGGAGAACAGACCAAAAGAAGCAGAGGATAGATCCAGAGAAATTTTGTGAGGAGAGGAGGGCAGCTGCAGCAACTTTTTATGAAATGAATGTGACCTCCAGCATTAGCAAAGAGGGGACGGTGGTGTGGTGATACTGGCTAACTCAAGGGATGTCACTTAGTACTTAATAAGTGTGGTTGGCTGGGTAAACTATAAAGCCTGAATCCTCAAGAAGAAAAAAATAATAAAAGAGGTTATTGGTGGATAAATATCAGGAACCACTGCTTTGATATTTCCAGTTTTTTAAAAAAATAACTTTAGAAAATACTTGAATGTTTCAGAAAATGTAACTAAAGCATTCATGCTCTATTCTTTTCTAGCTTTGTGTGGCTCGGCTATTGGATAGTCAAAATCCATCCCTGGACACTATTAAGATGCAAGTCTACTTTGATATGAATTACACAAGTCGAGGTAACATATCTACCTATTGTGATACTTTTTTTTTTAAAGATTTCATTTTGTATTTCAGGAAAGAAAGACTTCATTTGGTTGACAATGAATTCTTAGATGAATCTAACAATTTAATTTTTTGTCAATCTCTTGAAATGTTTTCCAGCTTTGAAGAATAATGTTAGAAATGCTAAATAAGGAAGCCATCAGTGACCTTTATGAGTATTAAAAGCTCATCAAATTATTATGTTAATAATGATAAAGTTCCCAAATCTGTTGCTTTAACTTTTATGGTGCTAATACATAATTAGAAATTAAAAACACCACCCCATTGAAGTTAAAAGTTTTTAATTTGCAGATAGGCTTGTTCCTGCTGTATATTATTATCTCAATATACTTATCTAAAATATGTAACTACCCAAAAATGAAATGGATGGGAAATTTAAGTTTAGAGCTTATTTCATTATATAAGTAATTTAATGCATACATCAAAGATAAATTGGAAACAAGAGAAAAAGGAAAATAAATTTCTTTATAGACTGCCTCTGCCCCTACTAGAATGCAATCATTATTAACCATTTGGTGATTTTGTCTTTTCTCTCTCCATGTATGAGTTTTAGTTACATGACGTACGTAAAATCATGTATCTGGTTTTTTGTTTGTTTGTTTGTTTGTTTTGCTTAATAATGAAATTATAAAGTAGTAAAATGTCATGGAATTTATGAAATTTCATTTATATTTGTTTAATTTTCAAAAAGTTCACAGTTGGGCCAGCCCGGTGGCGCACTGCTACAGTGCGCCGCTTGGGAAGTGCGGCAGTGCTCCCGCTGAGGGTTCAGGTCCCACATACAGACCGGCCGCTCACTGGCTGAGCGAGGTGCGGGAGCAACACCGAGGGTTGCGATCCCGTAGCCGGTCCCGGTCCGGTACGGGGGCGACACTGAGGGTTGCGATCCGTTGCCGGTCACGAAAAAAGACAAAAAGGGAAAGAAAAAAAAAAAAAAGTTCACAGTTGTTTTTGTGGTAAGATTATAATGCAGGATTAATATGTTAATTATTGCCCTTGTAATATGGGGTGTCTTACTGAGTCAGTTGCAAGAATTGTATTGCTGGTGAAGATGGTCTCCTGCTACAATTAAGTCAGTACCTCAGCATATCACAGGGAGGAGGAGGAGGGATACATTTCTTGATGCAACATCATATTATCAGTAATCAGCTATTCAAAGGAAATTTATTTAGAACTAACATAGAAATACACATAATTGAAAAGGAATATATATGCTACATATATATTTATACTGTATGTGCTTACATATAGCATACTACATGTGCTTACATGTGGTATGAATATACAATACATATACATTTTACATATAGTATTAAAAAAAAAATATATATATATATATATATATATATATATATGTTGTAGAAATGGTCTTCTGTACTTCTCTGCTTAATTGGAAGATTTTAGCCCTTTCTGATATTTACTCTTTGGATTGTCTGTTTAAAGTCTTATGTGTTTCGACAAAATATTCTGTTTAAATCACTGTAGTAAATCTTTTCTGCTGGGTTTTTGTCTTGAGGTTACTTGCTGGCCACTGTTTTTTATTTCATTATTACATCTTAAGAAAGCACTTGTTTTCACTTGGTAGAATTGCCATACCCAAGCCAATTTTTCTCTGGTCCTTATGTGAGAAGAATTCTAAATATCAAATATATGGAACATTGTTGTTTGACAATTTTAGAGGAATTTCTTGAAGAACATCACCGGGTCCTAGAGTCTAGATTAGGCTCTGTTAGGAGAGAAATTACAGATAACAGAGCTTGTGCTAGAGAAGAATTGGAAAGCCTCTACCGAAAGATCGTCAGCTATGTGTTACTACGCTCTGGGCTTGGATCCCCTACAAACATCAAGATTGTCAGAGAGGCAACAGGTAAAAAATATAAAGTTTCCATTCCATAAGTGAAAATATATGATCATTGTATTTTATAAACTATGTTAAATTAGACATCTTAAAGACTGACGTTCCCTTTTTATATGAAAAAAATCAGCACAAATAAGAGGTTGATAAATTTTGCTATGTATTCTGTAATGGGATATCAGAAATTTGAACAATAAGTAACTCTAGAAAGATAGACCCTAAGTTTTTCCTGAAAGAAAGAAACTTGTAATTTAAGTTCTGATATCTTTATTCTATCATTTTGTTTTCTTTTTCTGTGGTTTATTTTAGCTGCCCTACAGAGTGTGTTTCCTCAGGCTGAGCTTGGGACATTTCTAACTCTTTCTAAGAAGGACAAAGAACGCCAGCTGAAAGAACTCACTATGATTGTTACTGGAATTCGTTTATTTAACAGAGACTGTGGAAAAGGAGGAGAAGGCATTGATGATTGTAGGTATATCATTAGGTTAATTCTAAATGTTATATATGTTTAAAATTTAACTGGCACAGGGAGGAAAATAATACACAACCTACCACTGGCATTATAAGATTTCAGATTGGCATTTTGAGATTTTTTTTCACTATTCCTAGGAAACAACTACTATTCATAATGGGTAGTAATTTTTACTTTTGCTGGAGCAAGATTTTAGATTTTATGTACCACGATGCTAGTATGGGAAAATGTATTAGCCTGTTTCTATTGTTTATAACAAAATGCCTGGAACTGGGTAATTTATAAAGAAAACAAAATTTATTGCTCACAGTTTCAGAGGCTGGGAAGTCCAAAGTCCAGGGAACACAGCTGGTGAAGGCCCTGGTGTTGGCAACAGTAATGGCAGGATATCACATTATGAAATAGTGGAGCAGAGAGAAACCTCTCATGTGATCTTCTTTTAAAGTCCTCAGAACCACATCCCTGACCACCATTATTAATCCATTTACTATGGCATGGTCCTACAATCTAATGACCTCTTCAAGGCCCCACCCTTCAATTACCATAATAGGATTTCCCATCCTCTGAACAGTTAAACAGTGGGAATTAAGTTTCTAGCGTATGAACTTTGGGGACACAATTCAATTAATCCACAACAGAAGATGAATCAGTGAGAGGAATGAGGGGGCCTGACCCAGAAGTTAGCCTCCCCAATTTACTGTGTTCTTTAATCCAAGTTAGATAACCAAAAGGGAGTAAAACTCAGTGATTTAAAAAATAAAAATCACCCTGAAAGAAAACAGTTGCTGGTGCAGTTAATGGAATGAAAAGGTCCAAGAGGAGATATTTGCAAATCTGTAAATTCAGGAGCATCTACTATGTTGTCATATACTTAATGTATTCTTTTAAATAAGTTTGAAAGTACTTATGAATTATTTAATTAAGGACCTACCAGGAGAAGTAACTTCTTATGAATTTGGTACTCCTGTAAGGCCCGTTGATAAGGTAGTAGTGTCTTTTACCAGATTACTGATCCAGTATGATAGGGTAATATTTTCCATTTTAAAAACCGCTCTTAATAAGTCAAATTCCATTCTTCATAAAGTTCCTACCCTTGCTAGACTATTCTGTTATTTTGTAGCATCCAGGTGAGTTTCTTAAGAAGCGTGCTTTTTTTGTTGGTTTTTTTTTCATTGTTACAAATAGAAAGTAAGATATACAGAGGAGGATCAGTGGCTTTCTAGAGGCACATGGTCAACAACATGTAATATGAAAGTCTACTTGTTCTTTAAACTCTTCATATTTTAGTGGCAAAAGGCAATCTGCTGTAACTTTTGGTTATCATTCAGACAATAACTTCATGGCGTGGGACCCGTGAAACACATGCCTCATTATTAATTTGGGAAAAAACCTAATTCAACTTAATGCTTAAAATATGACTACTTTCTAGGCTTTTTCGCCTTAATTCATTTTAGACTCTTTCATGCCTGTGTTTTTGTACCCTTAAAAACAGTGCCAGCTATTCTACACGAAGCAATCCCAGCCACCACTCAACATATTGATTCCCAACTTCAGATTGCCCAGGACCAGGCCTACTGCTACACAGCCATCCTTGAGAAGATAACAAAGAACCCACTCATGAGTTTAGAATTTCAGCCGTATATGTTAAAAGAAGCACTGTATAATGTGCGACAATATGAGATATTCCTTCAGATCATTTTGGTGAGTTAATTTCACAAGATCTGGCTTTTTTGTAGAACACAATCTCTTTGTAAACTTGTATTATGAGGCTAAATCAGGTAGAACCAGGTTACTAATTAGGAAGGCAACCTCAATAACTGCTCGGATTCTATTGCCTTGGTGAGACTAGGAACTAAAATAGAAATGGGAAAGTTGAATTTTGATTTTAATGAAAATATATTGGTAGAAATCGATTTTGTAATTGTTCATTCTCTTTGGTACTGGATAGTATGATTGTTAACATGCTGTGGTTAAGCAGTGGTATAAAAGGGTACTTCAAAAAGTTCGTGGAAAAATAGAATTAAAAAATAATATGAATCTTTCATGAACATTTTGAAGTACCCTTGGATCTGTATGTGAGTAATACTGTGTTGTTTGTTTTAATTTGAAGCAAGTGTCTAACATTGTTTGGCAGGTGGTTGGCATGCAAATAATTTTTGTGTAATTATTTGTTCTTATTGTAAAAACCGGAAGAAAAGATTTTTATATCTGATGTTTTTAGAGTCAGTGAACAAGTCAAGCAATACCTCAAATAATTGGAAGATATGGTAAAATAGTGGTTATAAATTTCTTTTCAAGCAGCAGTGCACTTTCTTTTAGCTATGAACTTACTCAGAATCCTAAAAATATAAAACAGATATCTAGATGAAGGGATTGCAGGACTCTTTCACTTAGTGATATCCACATGCCGCCCTAGGGTGTCAGGGAACACATTCTGTTAACTACTGAGTGACAGCAGGCTATGTTCCCACTGGTCACTGTTTACCTTTATGCAGCCTCTACTTTCCAATAACCATAAGACTTGGGGTCAGTGGAAATGTCTTTTGTATGAGTGAATACTAATTTCTTGAGGGACAGAATAGGATGTGGTTCTGATCCCCTCTTCTTGTAACTCTTGTATGTAAGTGACTTGATACTACTTTTGGATGCACTTGGTCTGTCCTCTCTCTTTAGCTATAAACATAAACATCATGATGACATGATTTCATTGCAACAAACTAGGGGTGATCCTCACAACTGGCCTGCTGTCTAGTTGCCTTAAAAGGAAGGACTCTAAATTACCTGTTCAAAACCAAATCGTCATCTTGGGTGGATGTTCCCCTATCATTGACTTATGGCTATCAGCCTTTTGTAACTAGTCAGATACTAAGAGGATTTTATACTCAGTTTATATTGAAGTGCCTATTGGTCCACAGGAGTAGAACTTCACATCGGTTTTGTCATCTGTATTCAGAGGGGATATTATGGATATTACAAGAAAGAACCCTGGGAAACTGTCACACATAGTGTAAAGATGTTGCGGAGGATGCTAATATTATATATAGTGTCTTCTCACAGCTTTCAGCCATGAATCAACCAATTTACAACCTTAAATTCTCAGAGTTCTACCTCTCACAGCTATAGGGACAGTGAGTAGAATGTAGAAGTGATGAGTGTGGCCTCTGAAACCAGACTGCATGGGGTCTAATCCTGACTTTGCCATTTACTAAATCTGTGTCCTTGAGGAAGTTGCTTAACTTCCCTGTGCCTTGGTTTCTTCATCTGTAAAATGGAATTATTAATAGTGTCCGCTGTGTAAATGAGATAGAAAAATGCCTGGCACATAGTAAGAGCTCAATAAATTGACGATGAGGAGGATTATGAGGATGAGAATGATGATGTTTATGATTACTATCATCATCATTGTTAGAGTATAACAGAACAGCTCTGATTTCATTTTGATGGGGAAACAAGATGAAGAGTTTTTATTTTTCCAGGCAGTATCTCATTTCCAAGCTCCTTGCTGCTCGTATTACTGAAAAGGATAACTTTCTTATCTTAGCACTCTTCATGGCTATATCATACTGACTTTAGTAAGGGGCAAGATGAGTTTCCTTAACTTTCTAACTCTGCTGCTCAAAGAGTCTTTCTTTTTGTTGTTAGTATTTTTAACTTATCCAATCCTTCCCCATCAATCTGTCTTAGTTACAGTTTAGGTTGATTATTACAGAATGGATATTGGTTTAATCAGTATTACCTCTAGGTTATAAAATATGTCAATTTAGGGCCGAGCCCGTGGCGCACTCGGGAGAGTGCGGCGCTGGGAGCACAGCAGCGCTCCCGCCGCAGGTTCGGATCCTATATAGGGATGACCGGTGCGCTCACAGCGCTCACTGGCTAAGCGCGGTGCAGCCGGTCTCAAAAAGGACAAATTAATTAATTAATTAATTAAATAAAATAAAATATGTCAATTTATATTTAGCTGAGACTTTTTCCTATCTTGGTGTTCTCAGCACCACGCTCTCCCAAGTGAGCTAACCAGCCATCCCTATATAGGGAT